TTATATTTGTTTTTTTTTTTTTTTCCATTATAAAAAATTTTATTTTAATTTAAAAAAATAAAAAAAAAAAAAAAAAAAAAAAAAAAAAAATTAAAATGATTTCGGTAAATAAATTTCACTAAAAGTTGAAACTAGTATATTTTCTTCATTACTTGTCACAATCGCATAAATGAAAATCACCTCGATAGTTTCCCTCCTATTTTTTGGTGGTTGGTTTTGTTTAAACTTCATAATCCGTTTTATTTATTGTTTCTTTTCATGCAAATGGTTTTCGTTTCCATCTTTTTTTTTGATGGTCGTTTTGATTGGACATTTAAATGTCCAGTTCCAGTGTTACCGTACTTCCTGGACTGAAAGATGCTCTAGAGTAAGAGCCACGGAAATCAAAAAATCCATCACAAAGAGTGGGGGTGGAAAAAACACGTGATTTGCTCTAGTCTATATGTCACAGGGCCATCCAAACTTTGGGAAAGAACCCTGCAGACTTGTAGTCCAGAAAATACGGTAATATGGAAGAGAATTAAAGACCAACATTAAAACAACCTCAGCGTCGCCACTGAGGGATCAGCAGTTCAGATATTCATGCAAAAAAATAAATAAATGAATAAATAGAACAAGCATTGGCTGCATATACTGACCAAAAAAAAGGAAAAATAGTCATAGTCCAATTTAAAGTGCAACTGTGTTTCCGTTTATAATGTTCACACGTGCATCCACCTGTCAACCCAACACTTATTTCATTACTTTTCAGTGCATTTTGATGGTGAGGGAAATACTTTCAGTTTTTGAGCTGAAATTGATTCTTATAAAATCATGAAATTAGAACTCGTATAAAAGAAAAAAAGAAAAAAGTAAAGTAATCCTTTTTATCATTATTTTTCCCCTTTACAGCCCTCATGTAGAGCCACCACCAGATCGTCAAAATCCCTTTTTATAGCAACATTCTGCTGTTGCACTCGGCTCTTGACTTGAATCACCAATTAAAGGGTTTTATGACACAACTGTGTAAATGTGCACATTGTTGTGGCTTTTCGTGGTCTTGATACTTATCATTATTACTCAAACTTTGGGACCGTTAATGATGTCTTGTACCTAACGGCTGCGTCTAGACAGATTAAATTGTCTCCTGGACTTTGTTTCAGTTTTATGTACGTTTAAAAAAAGAAGTCATGTTGGAACAGTTTGTCATACTGATGTGCAAACAATGCAGTATTGTCCTTTCAAACATTCTCCCAAGTCATGTTGACAACATGAATATGTTATCTAAACCCACCCACTCAGACCGTTGTGCTGCCGTTTTTGCTGCCGGCACACGAAGCAGCTGTACGGAGTAAAACAGTGATCACAATTCATCCAATTTAGAGCACAGATGATTAGTTTTACTTAACCTACATTTGATGGATTTACGAATTGTACCAGATTGGATACAGAAATCATAATAATTAAGATCTTCTGTGGATGCAAAGACAATTGCGATGATCTCGAAAAGCTGTGGATTTTCTTTTTTTTTGTTTATGGTGGGTGGAGATGTGGAAAATGTATGTTCTGGTTGAATACCTCACATTTGCTTTGGGCTTATTACACAAGATATTTTTACTTAAACATCATTTTATCTTTTGGGACTTTAAGGGAAGTAGTTGCCACTCCCACCCCCCGTTTGGATAAGATTGGGAAACGGTTGAGTTTATCTTTACCTTCAGGTTTTTTTGAAAGCAAAAGCAAGAATAAAAAGTTCTCCATTTTGTTTGTTGAATACATCCGCATATCTCTTTCAAAACAGAACGTACAAAGGTATATGACGATTTTTTAAAGAGAGCGAACTGAAGTCCAAAGGGAGACGAGTTTGTTGTATTTTATCCCCTTCAGCGGCCGAGGATTAATGGAGAAAAAATTGAGTGTAACCTCAGTTTAAATGCAGGGATGAATGGCCCCAAGAGAAATGACCTCTCCATGTCTAGACAGCTGTGAAAGCTAAATACCATCGCAGTTCACACGGCTTCTCCAAATGTCTTGTTGGGGATGAAGGATGTTTGCATTCGTTTTTTTCTTTTTGTGGTAAATACCATTTTACATGTCGTTTTTTCCTCCTGAGTTAAGCAGTCTGGTGCTTAGTTTGTATCGTATACAGCAGAAATACACTTACATGGTTAAACACCACAGTTTAAAAGCCCTCTGATGCATGCTTTTTATTGGATTTACAGCTGCATGAAAGGTAAAACGCACCTTTTGTTGTTGCCTTAAACATCTATTGCAAATACTAAAGCTGCTTGTTGTAGCTCATCACCTGGGTTGTCACTGCAAATTCAGTTGGACTTTTACCAACTGGAGGTCAGATGCGAAAAGTTTCAAGGACATCAGTAGCTGCATTTCCATTATAAATGTGCGCAAAACTTTGTCGATATTGAGCTAACGTCAAAAAAAAAAATACAACTTCACAATTGTGTTGTTTCTGCTAAACAAGAAGTGCAAGTTAAAAAAAAATCACACCTGAATAAGTTTGTTCACACAGCAAGTCACTAAAAATCACCTGGCGCAATCATCCTCCTAACACTTCCTGTTGACTCATTTGTCGTTTCCACCAGTAGTAAAAACCGGTTGTCGATTGTCGTGACTGATGTGATGCAAAAAAATTGTTGCTGTTGCAGTTTAGTGAAATACTTATTTTAATACAACCAAAAAACCCACCTCATTCGAGTGCAAAAACTTTCTATTGAAAAATGTGGGATTTTTCAAAATTGCCATGTTTAAGCGAACATGGTTAAGCGAATTCAATTTTGAACGACCAATTTGTGCAATTTCACTATCAATAAAAACACAACTAACACTTTGAGATCTTTTTTTAATGGGCAATATTTTAGTTTTTTTTCTCTTTTCTCTTCCCCCCCACCCCCATTATAAGACAAAACGGACGTTTATCAAATTTTCTTGTTTGACAGGACGAGTCAAGGATTAAAGCGACGGTGATGGACGTGAAGCCAGTCGACCACAGAGAGTACAGCAAGAGGCTGATCATGAACATACGGAGTATGGGAGCCAAGTAGAAACGGCACCAATGCAGATTATCGGATATGCTTTTTTCTTTTGTACAGGTTCCATATCTGTCTCACTTTAGAGTGTTAAATCCTATGTATTTTTGTTTACTTATGCTATTCATTAATTAAAAAGGTAAAGTAACTGTTATGGGGTACTCTAAGCTCTGATGGACTGTTTCTTTTAACATAAAATCTATTTGTCCAATTTTTCCTTTTTTTTTTTTTTTTTTGTTAGCAGAGGTCAGTAAGCCACAAGTGAGAAAAGTGTGCTTCAAGTCAGCCAGCTGTTTGTGCATAAATTGTGGGGGAAGTGTGTGGCTTTGTTTAAGCGCAGACCAGCACAGTCACCAGCAGTCTTTCACCCTCTGACGCACTTGCAGAAATGCCTGGGCTGGACCTGCACACCCCTGATAACATTTATGCTCACACATTTCTTCTCCCCCCCCTTTTGTTGGCACCATTTCTCACATTCTTGCAATCCACAAGCACACCGATGGTGCCGACTCTGGCACCATCGGTGTGCTTGTTAGATTTAAGTCATGGAAATTTCTTTTTGTCTTGTAGTTTTTTTTTGTTACAAATGTAAAAAAATAAAGATATTTGTAATCAAGCTGACTCATGGGGGGATAATTCAGTTGTGAAATTAAATGTGGGGAAAGTTAGTTTGCTTATAAAGGCAAAGAACAGACTAGAGTTATAGAAAAGGGTTCAGCTTGTGGAGATTTATTCAACGGCAGGTGCATAATACCTTCTATTTCCTCAGGTTTTGCTCAGATTTACAACAGAAACCCTGCAAACTTAGTTTTCATGTTGTATTAAAGCAGAACATCAGTAATGCTGCGCACTGTGTCTGGTACCTGCCGTGTTCGGGGATAGATTGGGCCTGTCTCGCAATGGGAAGAAACTGCAAGTTTTAACTTTTGCAAAAGTATATTTGGATTTATTTTTTGCTAGCAATTATCACCTCACTATCCAGGGTTTTTTTTTTTTTTTTTTGCCTACTTTGGTTTTCCAAGCCGGTTAATTTACTAAATGTAGGACATGTTTCTAGAACAGTTCAGGTATAGCACTAAGTTTCGGTAGCCATGATTCTGTTGGGGCCTGCAATTGCAACATTTGTATCATTTTCAGCTGGTGTGATTCACTTTCTTCTGGTAGTAACTTTTTCAGCATGTCAATGTTCTTCTTAGACCTTCTAATGAGTCATTTGATCCAGGTGCATTAAACCAGGGAGACAACTAAAACATGCAGGACGGCTCTCAAGAACCGACTTTGGACACCACTGAACTCAACCCTATAAAAAATCTGCTCCCCCTCCTCGCCTGTGGGGGCGCTGCACCAAGAACCACTGAAGAAGACACTAAGCCTAACTTGATGTTAACGGTGATGTTAGAGTTTAGCGGTTGTTTAGCATACAATGTTAAATTTTAATGCTGTAGACATAAAATTGAAATGTATAATTGATAACCTTCTCATTGTGGCCACATATTCTAAGTTTTTGTGACTCAGTTTTGCTTGTGATTCTCACGATGTCGAGGGCAGAGCCTAAAATCGCAACAAAAGATTTCTGATGTGTGCAAATAAAAGTTTGTTTGGCAAATAACTTTTTAACTTCACAAGACAAAAATTAGTTATTTAATTTAAAAAAAAAAAGTTTTTTAAACGAAACGTTTTGTTTTCATAAGACATTACAATTCCAAAAGTTTTGATCACAATTTTATTTTACTTAACTGAGGTTAGTTTTTTTTTTTTCTTTTCATTGAATAATTGGGGGGGATTTAACTTCATACTCTGCGAACCAGACCCTAAATTTACTTAAAGTCTGGATTGAGTTTTTTCCCCTTCATTAATGACACACTTTTATTACATTCATTATATCTTTCATGGTAATTCAAGGTGAGTTATTTTAATTCTAAATGAATATTCTTGTTGGACTTTTATTTAAGTGCTATTCTCCTTCAAGATACATTTACCTAACGCCAGAATAA